AGTAGATATTCGCTAATAGTTTGAGTAAATATAAAGCCTGAAAATAACGGATGCACTTTTCTTTCCACAGATGGCTGGATCAAGGAGAAGATGATGGTAAAATTGTCAGAGAACTGTATGCCAGGACTAACGGTATCTTCTCTGCAAGTGAGTGTTATTTACAAATGTTTTTTTTTTTTTGGAAAATTATATTTTATGATGATGGAAGAAAGCATGACACTACTAACCTTCATGATCCTCTCTTTTATCTTCTCAGGGAAGAAGCTAGAACTTCAGAGAAAAGAAACAGTGAGATTTTGCTTTGGGCTTTAAACTATTTAGTACAAACCATGTTCAGATAACTATTTGAGGTGTTAAAACAGAAGAGTGTATAATGTTTAGTAAGAGACATTACTTTGTAATTTCTTCTCTTGGTATTTTCTCACTTGGTATTTTTGTTTTTAGTGGGCTGCAGAAAGCTGGAAGTTTACAAAAGGAAATACCCTTCAGTTCTACAACAGGCTGACTGGAGGGTTTGTCCGTCTGCATCCAGATGGCACAGTTGATGCCCTTGGAGAGAAGACTGACAAATATGGTAAAGCCAGCAGACAAGCATGTGGTGCTGGGCAGGCCTGGGAGTGGAAGGACTGCAGGTTTCTAGGCATAGCATGATTTGCAATTTTACTCTTTCTTTTTGGGATGCCTTTACACCAGTATTAGGCCATTTAAATAATTAACTATCTGCATTACAAATGATCAGTAGACAACAGGCTTTAAATATGTGCAGACAGCATAATGCAGAACAATGTGCCATTAAAAATTTATATTTGGTATTAATTAAGTGAAGAATAAAATGTAGGCAATTACCATTAACCATTCATAAAAAGCAGCAGCTATTGGCTCTTGATGGATATGATTATTGGGGAATTAAGTTAGTGTTCCTAAATACTGAGCACCCACTCTCTTCAAAATATCATGTTAATTTGAGAGGCATGAAAGTAACTAAGATATTCTTCTCAATTCCAGAGATTCATAATCTAATGAAGAAGGCAAGCATGGGCAACAATTCTAATAGTGGTAGTTTGTAGCTAATGGCTTAGTAAAGGTACAAAGGGAAAATGAGGCAAAGAAAAACTAGATTTGATATTTAACATTAGCATGACATAAATCCATACTCATAGGAATAACAAA